TAGTTTTGGTTATTTGATAATAGTAGAGGGATGCCTTAGGGATCCGTTATATCTGTGTTCTAGTATCGAGTATGTTGCCATGTTGTAGTGATCTGTTAGATCTGTTCCTGAATTAAGTAGGTTGCTTTGTTGTAATAATCTATAGGATTGTATGTATATCTGCTTGCTGGTTATCATTTATGGTGTTCCCATAAGGATTGTCTGTGGTAATGTAGGGTAGCCTGAGAACTCTTGGTCTAGACTCTCTTGCATGTTCCTTGTTTGGATGTGACTCTAGAGTAGGACCATATGTTCGGGTGGCTATCTCACCTCTGGTTACTTATGGTTACACATTCTATGGGGGTTAGCTAGTAACGGGACTGTATGTTATGAGAGGACTAGTAGGCGGTAGTGAGTCTTTACATTATACCCATGGGTTGAAGGCACCAATGTCGGCCCATTACTTGATATGTGGTCTTAATAGTTGATGTGCAATAGTGTTGCTAGTTAGCATGTAATGAATTATGTGAATACCATGAGGGGAGCCCATGGCACTTGGTTATCTGACCATGGGGGAGCTCATGACATTCCAAGTAAAGACCATGGGAGGGAAGCCCATGACACTTGGTTTTCAGACCATAGAGGGGGGGAGCCCATGGCATTCCAGGTAAAGACGATGGCGGGAGCCCATGACACTTGGTTAATAGACCATGGGGGAGCCCATAGCATACGAGTTGAAGACCATGGAGGGAGTCCATGGCAAACTATATATATATATATATATATATATATATATATATATATATATATATATATATATATTGCATGATATTATGTGGTTGTATGGTTTGTGATATTTTAGGGGAAACTCACTAAGCTTTATTCTTACTCAGTTGTTTATTGTTTCAGGCATCATCAATTATTGCGGGAAGGCAAAGGCGGGATTGTACACACTCATCAGCAACATTGAAGAATTCCACGTTTCTACAACACTCTTATTTTTAATAAATGTAATTCGGAATAAACGGTTTCTTAATTAATAGATTAATAAATTGGGAAGTTTTGCCTTAATAAAAAATGAAAATTTTGGTTGTGAAAATGAGACGTTACACTGCTGGCGACAGTCCTTCACAAAGTGTCCCTCTCTTCCGTAATTGTGGCATGTTGTCGATGATTGACACACCCCCTCATGAGCTATCCTACACTTGCCACAAGTATGGCCCCTTTACCCTCCATATTGTGAATTAGAGGTCTTGAACCTCTTGGTTGCATCTTGTAACTGAACGGGAGCCTGCCTCTGCTGCCTCGTCTAAGTCTCAATCTCAATCTCCTGTCTCTGTGCGCCATCTTGAAGCTCGGAGAGGGTACTGTAACATTGCATATACACAAACTGTCGAATATCAGTCTTGAGTATGATCAAGTATCACGTCATTTGGGCATGCTTCGTAGCAGCGTACTCAGGACAGAAAAGAGCCCTTTTAGTAAAGATCTTGGTGATCTATGTCACTGACTCCGTCGTCTTCCTCAAATCCAGATACTCTTGAGCCAACCTCTCACTCTCCACCAGGGGAACATACCTAGTGTGAAACATCTCTGAGAGCTGCCCCTAAGTAACAGCAGCCCTCTGCTTAGGGGTATAAGAACCGGTCACCAGGTTCCACCAGTCCTTCGCGCCCAGACGAAGAAGGTTCAGGGCGCATCTAACCTTCCAGTCCTCTGATAACCACCTCATAGAAATGATAACCACCTCATAGAAATGATCGAGTCCTTGACCCTTTTGAACTCCGAGGGCTTCGTATTGTTGAAATCCTGCAACTGGAATAAACCTCCTCCTCGACCTCCCGCAGCAGCGACGACTGTGGTGGCTGCAACAATAGCAGTCTCAATGAGGGCAACATAACGCTCATCAAACAGCTCAATCATTGCGGTCTTGATAGACACAAACAGCTGCGTAATAGCACCCCAAACATCAGTAGCCACCTCAGTGGAAATCATCTCCTGTATCTGATCATTAGTCAACCCCGACCTATCCTGGCCACCAGTTCCAGATCTTGAACCCCTCTTGAACACCATATTGAAAATAAACCTCTATATATATATATATATATATATATATATATATATATATATATATATATATATATCAGAAAAGCCACAATTCACACTGTTACAACCATCATGAAGAGACTAAACCCGCGGGGGTTGTGACTTCCTTGCTATGCGTATGGGTTATGTGCTTTCAGTAGTACGAGCTCATACTACCTTCCACACCTACTTGTGTTTATCTCAAAGGATCATCACAAACTATCTGAAATAAACCCACAACTAGGATACACATACATCTTATACATACTCTCCCGAGAGTGGCTAACCATCCCTCAACTGGCCTGCTACACCCATACTCACTCATGACACTTCCACCAATCGTGCATGCTAATCATATATAACGCTGGATTTCATAGACAGATGAATACTTAATTCTACCCTAAGCCCACAACCAGACAAGGAACAGGAAATAAGGATAAATCAAACATTCTCAGACTATGATGCACACACTAAGCAACTACAGTAATAATGTCAATTTCATCTATGATACAAGAAGTTCTCCTAGGCTATCAGACAATTATATCATGCAATTTCCTGAAGATCCCTAGCCTACCACTAGCATGCATTTCTATCATAAAGATCATAAACAAATAATAGTATGGGTAACTTGGGGTATACTTTCTTGCTCCGACTGATCATACACATCTCATCCTTCATTGGTTACTTTTGAAAACAATTTTAAAAACTTTTATAGATCCTTAGTTTGATTCTGGATTCACACGAATGCTCATCCAATTCTCTCAAACCAGGGTTCTAATACCAACTTGTAACATCCTAAAAATCAAGGTAAATTTTTCATTTTCAAAACCAAACCAAAAACCATAAATGTTTACAAAACATAGTTTCCAAGAGTCAAAATCACAAATTAGAGTATCCCAAAATCAAATCACATAAAATCCGAAGGATGTGCATGATCAAGCCTTCGCCTTGCCCCGGTCATCTGAAGTACCTAAAACATAACACTTAAACTGTAAGCCAAAGCTTAGTGAGTTCCCCCAAAGTACCACACACAACCAAACAAATATACATATTACATGCTGGGTCCACAGTCTCCCGATTGGATTACCCTGGCCCACAATCTCCCGATTGGGTTGCCACTGGCCTACAATTTCCCGATTGGATTGCTCGGGTTTGTTGGCCGACAGCACAAAGCGGTACAGCCTCACCCCACCCACACTGTGTCAACATATGTAACAGATAAACATGTAACTAGAAAGTACAGGTAATCATACATATCTACCAATCTAACATATAATCAGCATAGCATCATCCTATATACCAAGATACATAACCCAGTGGGCCGACATTGGTGCCTTTGAACCACGAGTACGATGAGGAGAAACTCACCTCACAGTCCGAAATATAGTTGAACAAATCACAGTTCCAACTGCTGACTCTACCGATCACCTATATAATAAACAGTGACCTAAACTTAATCTACCACCCAAAATGCCCCTAAGTCAAACTTGGTTAAACTCTTGGTAAAAGGTCAAATTCAGAAAGTCAAAAAAGTCAAAAAAGTCAAAAAAGTCAAGGAAAGTCAAAGCAGACTGAGTACACCTCGCGTACTCAGTCACTACGTTGGGCGTAGTCGCAATCCATCCAGATTACGAGGTTCTTGGCTAGTATGCGGTACGCCCGTCGTAGTCGGCCTGAATTTACTCTTTCTTGTTAAGTGCTTAATCCATAAGACTTAACATCCAAAGCTCAGATCAAGCCCCAAATAACATTCTAAGAGTTTCCAACTTTATGACTTTTCATGGCTAGAATGAGTCCAGCAACCAAACCTTAACTTAATACACAACCAAAACCTCGTTACTCATGCATGAAGAAAGGAAAGGGTCCAAGATCACATTTTTATGGTTCCTAACACCTAAAAACGTCTGAAAGGACAACTCTTATGGTTAGAGTAAGCCATACACATGGACACCAAGCTTAAGGGACCAAAAATGAACAAAAACTCTAGGCTAGAAAGATCTAAGCAAATACCTCATTAAGTTTCAAACTTTATACCTTTAAGGGATGCTTGAGGGTGAGATACTTCTGGATATAGGTTGCCTTGAGCTTCCAAGATGATTTCGCTATCTTATCCTTCCTTCAAGAACACAAAATACACACTCTCAAGCTCAAAATGCTAACACGATAGATTAGGGTTAGTAAGAGACGATTTGAAGATGGAGACTGATGAGGAAAAGGGTTTTAAGGAGTTAAGAAGGTTTAAATAATACTCAAACCCTAAAAATTAGGGTTTGGGCACCAGCCACGTACGCCCGGCGTATGCATGAGTACGCCCAGCGTACGCGTAAAAACACGCGCCCCTCATAAGGGAGCCATGGGACCCATTTTGCATAAAAATTCCACTTTGGGTCAAAAATAAAATTTTACCTGATCAATGAGCATTACATGAAAAAAAATCTTTATACATACTCATTTGTTAGTATACGAAAACTATCAAAGAACACTACTTGTGGATGAATAATTACAAAGAAATATACGGCAATGGAGGAACAAAGACACATAAATATACTGCTCGTGGCTTGTGGATGAACAAAAAACACACAACTACCCTAATATTACCTCTTCAGAACAACATTATGGAATGCACGTACATTCCGGAGTATGGTCTAGGATACACTTTGCAGTTCGTAACGTACGCGTGTTAGATTTCGGACCCGAAATCTACCAACCACCAACTCCGAAATGAATAGCTATTCTGAAATACTACATTCCGAAATAAATAGTCATTTTACAAATTTATAAAAAAAAATGGTGATTGTTATCGAATTATTCAGTTAGATTAATTAATTTCCCAAAACTTTAATATATTTAGTTGTTTTGACTTTTGACTTTTAATTTTTCTCACTTCCTTAAATTTTAGGTGCATTAGAAACTTTGAAAAATACTAGCGCGTGGTTCCACAACATCGTTTCTTCAACAACCAAAAACACTAGGTGGGGTAGAGACTCCATGACCTACCACCGCCGGTACCAATCCATAACTATTGGACTGTTATTGACTCACAAATGCAACTCAGTATAACAACAAATCGTAGCCGGTTTCCCGCCGTACACTTTGCTATCTCCTATCTCTCTGCCTCCTCTCATTTTCACTCATCCAACATGGCCGCCGTATCGGAGAATGGCACCACAGAACCTCCGGTGATCGACGACAATGTCAAATTTGGATTCTTACGGAAGGAGATGAACACCGAGAAACTCGCCGGAACCGCTATCGCTTACGACCGTCATGTTATCCTCTGCTATAAAACTCACGAGACGTGGCCTTCTCGAGTTGAATCCTCCGACAGCCATCCGTTCCCTAAGCTTCTCGCTGGAGCTCTTAAAGCTCGTAAAAACGACATTCCTGTGAAGGTTACTCCTCCGTTTATAATTTAGTTTAGCGCTTATTCTGATGGGATTTTGAAATTGTGAAAGTTTGATGCGTTGTTTTTGGTTTCTGATATGGATTTTGTAGACTTTAATGACGATATGCGAGGGTCGTGAAGGTACAGAGCTATCAGATGGAGATGTATTGCTTTTCCCTGAAATGGTCAAGTATAGGTAATCTACGAATCCCTTAGGGTTTTAATTTGGTTGGTTATACAAGTATAAAAGTTTTTTTTGGTGAAGAACTGGTGATTAGGTTTATATCTATTAATCTATGTCCTTTGCTTATGCTAATATGTGCATATGAAACAGAATTTGGCATAAAAAGTGTTATTAATATTAGTTTTGTGAGACTTTCTACTGTTGATAAGGAAATAGATTAGTAGTTGCAAGTTCTGTTGTTGTTTCTTTTTCTGCAAACTTCTACCTCTTTGTATGTTCATGTACAAGGTGGTTAGTGATCATTTTCACTTGCAACAGTTAGTTTTAGAAATTTCACTCAACCATGTTTTAACTTCACATATAATTCATAGGAAGTTTTTGGCTATTTTGTCAAAATAAAGAAATCTTATGAACCCAAATTATTACATTAGTTTATAGTGGTGAATGGTGATACTAACACACAAATAGAAAATTTCAATCTGTGATATCCCAAAAGGAAACTAATCTTTTTTTTTTTGTGGGACATTGGGAATATATGAAAGAAACATGAAATATCTAAAAAAAAAAACATTGTCTCAAACTATAAAGTAATATGGTATATAAAAAACAAATACTAAAAAACATCTTCTCCACCACTTTAAAACAGAAAACAAACAAACAAACATGGGTTTGTACTTTGTAGTTTGTACCTTCTTACATTTTATTCTCATAATTTGTTATTGTAAAATGATTTGGCATTTTACTCATTGTTTTTCTTTTTCATTAAAGGGGATTGAAAGAACCGGATATTAATAGCTTTGTGGATGAAGTTATTGTGAATAGAAAAGAATGGTCTACAGGTGTTCAAGAAAAGATGACAGGTTCACACATATTTGTGTGTGCTCATAGTAGTCGAGATAAAAGGTGTGGCTTTTGTGGGCCCATTTTAATCAAGAAATTCAAAGAGGAAGCTGAATTAAGAGGATTGAAGAATGTGTATGTTAGTGCATGTTCACATGTTGGTGGCCATAAGTATGCAGGAAACTTGATAATTTATAGTGTTCAAAATAACAAAGTTTCTGGTCATTGGTAAGATAATCTATTCCCAATTTTTATATTCATTTTGTTTGTTCTTGTTATGTTTTAATTGCTCTTATTGTTTTTGTGTTATAGGTATGGTTATGTTAGTCCAAATGATGTGCCTGAATTGCTTGATGATCATATTGGAAAAGGTCAAATCATTGAGAGAATTTGGAGGTACCTTCTTTTTGTGTATTAATTTGGCTCATTTAGTAAGAATTAAATGCAAAGATGCATACGCGAAGGGCATTCTCGTCTTTTGTACATCGAGTTCGAGAGCAAGTCCTTGTCCCACTTTTTTCGGTGGGAGAAAAAATCTAAGTTTTTCTCCCATTAACATGTCACAGGCTCAGTTAAAATGCAATACAACATGTTCTGTCGTGTGTCATGTCTGTCGTGTGACATGACAGAACAGGTTGTACATCGAGTTCGAGAGCAAATCCTTGTCCCACTTTTTTTCGGTGGGTCAAGAATTTTTTTGTCCCATTAACATTTGTCCCTGACACAGTCAATCCAAATACAGTACAATCTGTTCTGTCATGTCAGAACAAGTCACGTCAGAACAGAACAGGCTGTATATCAAGTTCGAGAGCAAGTCCTTGTCCCACTTTTTTAGGTGGGACAAAAAATAACAATTTTTGTCCCATTAACATTTGTCACATTCCCAGTCCAAATACAATACAACCTGTTCTGTCAGGTTATGTCAGAACAGGTTGTACATCGAGTTCGATAGCAAGTCCTGTCCCACTTTTTTCTTTTTCAGTGGGACAAGAAATCACAAATTTTGTCCCATTAACATCTGTCTCTTTCACAGTCCAAATACAGTACAACCTGTTCTGTCATGTCATGTCATGTTGCTTTAATGAGAAACGAATTTAAATTGAGTTGAATAAAATTTAGGGGCCAAATGGGAGTTCCACTTCTGAAGAAAGTTTCTTCACTGAAAGCGGTTGAACCATCACTTCCAAATGGAAACCCTTTAATCAATGAAAAGAAAAATCAAACAAATGAAACCAAAGAAGAGAAAAAAGAAGAAGATAACATTAAAAAGGAGAAAGAAGATGGGATTGGGGAAGGGGAAGGGGGAGGGTGTTGTCAAGGTTTGAATGGGTTCTCATGCTGTAGAGATGAAAAAGAGGAAAAAGAATCGATGAGTAAAATTGATTTGTTATGGAAAAAATGGGAGGAAAATGAGATAGTTACAGTGGCTGTTGTGGTTGGAGTTGTGGTAACTGTTGGTTTGGCTTATAGCTTTTATAAAAGGTTAAGATGAGAAATGAACTTCAAACTTCAAAATGAGGTTATTATCACCAACTTATTATTGGGTATACTTTGTATTGTTGTGTATAATTTTATACGGGATTTAATATAGTGACTCTTATTTCTTGTAATTATTATTATTATTATTATTATTATTATTATTATCTATAGGGTATTGATGCATTTATCTAATTTAATTATCAAAAATAAAATGATCTCCTTTACGAGATACCCCAATTGACTACAATTCATGTTCGAGAGCTACTATCAGTGTATCAAGGTTGTTAAAATTGTGATCTTGCTTGTAGGATTGTATGATCCATCCTATCTACGTAAATTGTTTCCGATCTTTTAAGATCGTAGTAGGATTGTTTCTTTTTAAAAAATTAATATTTTTTATTGAACTAAGTAGAATACCCATTTGAATTGTTTATTGTTAAATAATATGGAAATGACATATTTGGCCAACGATGTATTTTGAATTTATCCATTCAGTCTCATAATTTATTTTCGTGTTTTATGAATGAATAAACTCTAAAGTGATTTTTCCTTTTAGTTCACTGACTCGAACCATCTTTCTCTTACGAAAAAAAAAACCCCATTTTTTTTTGGTGAATTTGAGTCCTTTTGGGTTTTTGTTATCTCTCCTGTTTTTGTTTTGATGAACATATTTTTTTTCTTTCTTCATATTACCGTTTGAATTCTAGATGCACAAAACAACCTTCAATCTTGTTTCTGGACTCATTAAAAAGATGTTATATTCGATTCTTTCGAAAGAAAAACCATTTGTGTTGATGGATTGTTCTTCAATTGACCCGTATCAACACCGAAGAACATATACATAATCATTAAAGTATGTGCCATTTTAGTCAAATTACAAATATTCCAAATCCCTAATCCAATTTCTCATTTGTTTGACACAGATTGCTTCATCTTATAACAATAATAGTCTTCCGATTTTCCAATGGGTTACGATTGCAATTATTGTCGCGAGACAAGATCGATGGTGTATTGTCAATCAGGCGAAGCTTACTTATGTTTATCATGTGATTGGAATGTTCATTCCGCAAACATATTATCAAAACGCCATTCAAGAACACTTGTATGTGATAGATGCAATTCAGAACTAGCATTTGTTAGATGCATCGATGAAAAACTATCACTTTGTCAAATGTAACTGGGAAGGTCACACCAGTTCCTTAAAGGAAGTGCCGACACCGGCGGAGAAAATGACGGCGGGATAAAGGAGCTTCATGATGCGTTCAAGCTTTATGATCTTGAACAAGAACAGGTTGATTTCGGATTCGGAGTTGCACAGATGACGACGCGATTTTGACTTTTAAATGGAAAAATGATTGAGTGGCATTGGTTAATATAGGTTAAAAAGAATAAAAAGAAATGTCACTTCAGAGTTTATTCTCTCATAAATCACGAAATAAGTTATGGGACTGAACGGGCAAATTCGAAATACATTATTAGGTAAATATGTCATTTCCCCTTAAATATTATATCAAATATATATATTTTTTAGGGTAAATAGCATAAAAAACACTCAGTTTACACTAAAATTCTAATTTGATACCGTGTTTTTTTTGTCTCAAAATTGACACTGTGTTTTCCAATTTGTTACAATTCTGACCACTTGACCGGTTAACCAGGTTACATGCTGACGTGGCATGATGATGTGTCAGTTTTGATGATGTGACATGCTGACATTATATGCTGACGTCTCAAAATTTGAATTTTTTTCCACAAAAAACACTAAATTTTCACTTTTTTTTTCGATTTTGACACTAAGTTTAATTTTTTCTTTCAATTTTGACACTATGTTTTTTTTTCCAAATCGAACATTATTTTTTTCAATTTTATTCAATTTTGACCATTTTCCATTTGAAACCGTATAAATATATTTTTTATTACATTTTAAACCGTATAAATATATTTTTTTTTGTTTAAAAACCACATTTTTATTTAAATACAAGGTGTTTCTTTTGTTTTTGTTTTTTTTTTTACATTCAAAGTATAATATATAAATATACATTAGTTATATCATGAGAATCAAACTAACCATAAGCTTTAATAAGATGTGAAAATTTTAGGGGTTGCAAACTTGATATCCGGGTTTTAATCGACTACACGCCTCCAAACCTACAAACTCATTTTAAAGTTGCGTATTTAATATAAAATACGGTTTTTATATAACTAATACATATTTATACATAAAATTATGGTTTGAATGTAAAAAAAAAAAAAAAAAAAAAAAAAAAAAAAAAAAAAAAAAACCTTGTATTTATACAAAACTATGGTTTTTAATTGAAATGGAAAAGGGTCAAAATTGAACAAAAATTGATAAATGATGTTCGATTTGGAACAAAAAAACATAATGTCAAAATTGAAAGAAAATATTAAACTTAGTGTTAAAATCGAAAAAAAGTGAAAACTTACTATTTTTTGTGGAAAAAAAAAATTTCAATTTTGACACGTCAGCATATCATGTCAGCATGTCACGTCATCAAAACTGACACATCATCATGCCACGTCAGCATTTAACCTGATTGACTGGTTAAGTGGTCAGAATTAACGAGACGGGATTGTCCACCCCCACCCCTGCCCCACCCCCAATTTATTTAAACAAATATTTCCATACGGGACAGGGCCTCCACGGGAACGGGGTCCCATGAGACTTTTGACATCCCTAAATTCTATGGTCATCTTACTATTTTTATTTACAAAAACAAGGAATAGTCCACTACCGAATCAACAATAGAGTCATTTCTTTGTATATCAGTACAAAAAACTATCGAATTTCTAAACCGCCATAACACCCATAAAATAGTAATACTAATTGCTTCCACGACTAAATTTTTGGACTTGTGCATATTGAGATTATCGAACCACATCTACAAGCTCACTGTTAGGGTGTTCATCGGTTAAAATCCAATGGATCTTGGTAGAACTGACTAATGCAATTATAATTGGATGTTGTATTTTATGAATCGATCCAATCCAATTCATTATATGCAACCAAACCGATGCAATTGGATATTGGATCAGATCAGTTTTATCCATTTTTGCAAAGAGTCAACTTTCATATCTATTCACTAATGATGGATATCATACTGCAACCTCAATATGTTATTTTATTAATCAATGTCTAACGTCCTGTTTTCGAGTTTTTTTTAGTAAGGGGAAGGAAGAGAAGGTAATAGAATGAAATGAAGGGGTAGGAAAGGAAATGTGAACAACTCTTTCCCTCCCAATCTTCTCAAAAGTGGGAGGAATTTTTTTTTAAGAAAAAAAACCTTTTCTTCCCCTCCTTATCCCTCCATTTTCTTTCATTTCATTTTTTAAATAAAACTCGAGAACACCTCTATCCTCTCAATTTCATCCCTTTTCCTCCTAAAAAAAACTCAAGAACACACATTTCCTTTTATTTCCTCCCCTTTCATTCTTTAAAAAACTCGAAAACAGGACATAAGTGAACCATGAAAATAAATTTGAGTCTATATATCCTTTGATCTAAGATATATGTTTACTTTTTAAGTTAATGTAACATTGTGTCTTGATGTGATATTATAAAATTTTACTTTGATGTTAATTTATAATATTTTATAATGAAATTACAAGAATGTTATTATCAGAAAACTATTTCTAGGGGTGAGCAAAAACCGAACCGCAAACCAAAAAAACCAAAAAAACCGAAAAAACCGCATAAATCGAAACCGAAAAACCGAAACCGAAATGAAAACCGATGGAGTGGTTTTTAGTTTTGCAAAAACCGAAACTACTCGGTGCGGTGCGGTTTCTAGTCTCGCAAAAACCGAACCGCACCGTTATATATATATATATATATATATATATATATATATATATATATATATATATCTATATATATTAAGTGTTGATATTTGTACGAACCAAGAACTTATGACAATTAAAATTTCTATAAATATAAATATTTATCTTATCTATCGGATGATGATTGTATATTTTTAAGCATACAATCGGTGGTATTTACAATAACAAATAGTGTTTATGACATTTTTTAACATTTAAATCTGAAGGGTACTAGTGATGATAGTATCATTTTTATGAATACATTAATTAAATTTATTGCATGTACATGTGAAACAAATATTATATTAAATTCGTATTATGTTCAAGCGTTAGAAACATTTGGATGAGTGCTTATGTAATTTGATTTCAAACCAAGAGGTGGTGGTATCGGTTCATCTCCAAAAAATGATTAACACTCCTCATCTGAGTCAAAGTAACTCGCCGAGTTACTTGAGTTTTAGTAATAAGGCAAAATGAAAACAAAAAAAAACTAATAAAAAACCGCAAAAAAACCGAACCGCAAAAAACCGCAAAAACCGAACCGCATAAAAACCGAACAGTGCGGTTTCTAAATTTCAAAAAATCGAAGTTGCGGTTTTCGGTTCGGTTTTGGCCAAAAACCGCACCGAACCGCACCATGTTCACCCCTAACTATTTCAATCACTTAAATAAAAGCATTGTCTTATTGACCATATGATTTAATCGTCATATCGAAACAATTTAAATACAAACATTACTTTATTGACCATATTATTTAATCATCATATCAAAACAATGTTTTACATCTCTTATAAAAAAATTCCTCTTATGTGATTGAAAATAAATGTTTTTCATGAAAAATATTAATTTGATTTTTTGTAATCTCTTATAAAAAATATCATTCCTCTTATATGATTGAAAATAAATGTTTATCATGAAAAATATTAATTTGATTTTTTGTAATATAATAAACTTCTTTATTAATTAATTTTGACTTGACAACTTTTTAATCCCTTTTAACTTTCAACATAATATATTTAATTTATAAATTTAATTGTAATAACCTAATAAACTCAATTTATTAATTTAAATATTATATTAAAATAAAACATAAATTGAAACCTAAAATATACTAAAAAAGGTCCAAAAACTATCTTTAAAATAATTACAACTTTTAATGTAGCATTTACCTTTGATCTAGCGGTATTAGATGTATTTCAAGGTGTCTTGGACAAGAATGTAGTTTTTGAGTAAGTGTGCCATTCAAAAGAGTTAATATAAGTATAAATATAAATATAAAACCTAAAGTTAAAATGTAAAATAAACTAAAAAAAAATGTTCTATTCTTTTTATCACAAAAAACACAGTGGCATGTACAATGAACAATGAACAATGAAGTTCAAGACGGAGATTAAAAAGCTAGACAACCTTATGGACAATGAGTAATTTAATTATTTAGGCAAAAAATTTAAAATAAAATAATATTTAGCTACACAAAATAAAAATAATCAATAGTAGTTTAATATGTAAAGATGATCGACATATATGATAATCAATCCAAACTCCAAAGTCATCGATGACATGGCATAAGAACGCTGACACTGAATCTGAAAGACCACGTGGAGGGCACAAGCGGGTCAAAGACCGTTTCTCTAAACCCGATTCGAACCCATTTCATAAGAACCGACGATCCGATCCGGTGACTATCGTCCACTAGTTTATTAAAAAAAGAAAAACAAAAAAATAAAAAAAATAAATACATAGACTCACATAGTTGGTGGCCTGTTCTTCCAATCGGATCGATTCTGTTACAATAAATCATTAAAAAATCTTAGTCAAATTAAGATTAAGCATAAGATCCTGCTAATTTTTAATTTAAGATTTGCAATCTATTGTATTTAATGATGATCTGTTTTGTTTTTGTTTTATTCCATTTTTTAGTATTTAAATCTTTGTATTTTATTGGATGAATGGATGAAATACGCGGTGTTTATAGAAACAGAATGATTCTATTTATACGTCTTATTCTCATTCCATTTTGCTGTGATTTTGTCCACCGTTTTCAAATTCTTCATTTTCGTCGTATTCCGTTTCTGTCGCTTTGGATTCTTCGTTTTTCTTCTGTGTAGGTTTATAATTGCTGTGTGTGTAATTCTGCGAACTCTGAAGGATTCTACATGGCTGTTAATATCATCAATGATGGAGATCGATCGCCTAGAGTTGTACTCAGTGAGCCAACCGGATCAACAGCGGAGGTTCGTTATTACGTTTATTGTGTCTTCGTTTGTTCATCACAGAATTCTCTAGCAGTTTCTACATGTTTCGTTTGTTTTTTTTTGAGTAATTTGAGAAATTTGGTGCCAGAAGCAAGTTGTTGATCGATTGTCGAATGATGAACAAGTGGTTAATCGAATAATCGCCTTGTTATTTCTCCACATTTCTTCAATTCTGTAGCATTGTTGTTTTGAGTTGTGATTTTTGGTTCGAAGGAGTTATGTAACTCGAATTATGATCACAAAC